AGACAGAGAGGGAGAGAGAGAGAGAGAGAGAGAGAGAGAGAGAGAGAGAGAGGAGATTCACTTCCCCAGATTGGGGACACAGTCTTTTTTGAACTTTATCATGCTTAATTTTTTTTTGAGTTAGAGTCTCACTCTGTCACCCATGCTGGAGGGCAGTGGATGGCATGCTCATGGCCATCCTAACGTCGACCTGCAGGGCTGCGGCGATCCTGCCGCCTCAGCCTTCCGAGTAACCGGAACTACAGGCGCGCGCTACCACGTCTGGCTAATTTTTTTGATTTATTGTAGTGATGAGGTCTCGCCAAGTTGCCTGGGTGCGTCGCAAACCCGCAGGCTCAGGCAATCCACTTGCCTCGGCCTCCCAAAGTACTGAGATTACAGGCTGAGCCACCGAGCCCAACCATGCTTAATTTTTATATAGTCGTTTATTATAGCATAACTTTTACTTGTATATGGTCTTTATATTTTTTATTTGGGCATATAGTATTTAATTGAACCAAGAAAACAATCTGCTGATTCACATCCTATTGATAAGCATTTCTGATTGTTTCTGGCATTTTATTAGAAAAATGCTGATTCGAACATCATGACACAGTGTTTTTATTCTTTTGAATGTTTCCTTAGGATAGATTTCCAGGAGTTGGATTATTAGGTCAAGGGTATGAACACTTTTATGGCTGATAATTCTGACAGAGTGTTTGAAAGAAGGGGTGAGTCAGTTCATCATAACATTAACTGCACCAGTGTTCCTGCTTTTCCTAGTCTTTTTGCTAGTATTACTCTTTTTTTCCTTGCTCTTTAGCAGGAACAAAAATAAGAACCCTTTATTATTGTACTTTATTTTGCATTTATTTTCATTGCTACAGAATGAAAACTTTTTCGCCCCCAAATGTTGATTTACTTGTATGTAGACAGCCCAGGTCTGAAGTCTTCATTAGTACTGAGACATGGAAAGGGCATTATCTACCAGCCCAAAGGCTATTATCTAAATGGTCTAAATCACAGGTCAGTGACCTTTTTCAATAAAGGACCAGATAGTAGATATTTCTGGTTTTGTAGCCATTGCAGTATAAAAGTAGCTATGGGCAAATATGGAAGTGAATGAGCATGACTGTGTTCCAATAAAACTTTATTTATGGGTACTGAAATATGATTTCATATCATTTTCATGTGTCATAAAATATT